GGAGTTATCTCCCGCCTGGGCTTGAAACCCTCTAGTTTACCTTTGGGGTTTCCTTTTAGCTCCTGCACCTTGGCTTTAGCTGGTGGCGTGCCGCCTTCCCCAAACTCCCAGAAGTACTGTATCATCATTGTCAGTAACCCTTGATAGGTGGTGTACGGCTCCGCTCGGACAGTGTCTCGGAGACTTAGGGACATAGCCTTATGAGCACTGGGTGCTCCCTTCAGAAGCAGTCTAAGTTCATCTAGTCGGCCCTTTTGTTCCCAGGGGTTCCCTACCTCCCGCTCAGGGTTGGATTTGATCCAACAGGCTGATAGTGGCTGCTATTTGCAAGGCCTGCTTAATTTCATCTACATTCGCCCACGGTGTAGTGGTAGGCTCACCTCGGTCTGCCCGAAAGATTCCTGTAGCCCACCTACAGGCTAAGACCAAGAGAGTTTTTGGGCCTCGGTTATCTGAGTGGCTGAGAAATACTCCAGCACCCAGATTAAGCCTACTGCACTCTGAGGAGGATAAATGCGTGTGTCTGGCTCCGCTGTCCCATATACAGCCAATCTATGATTTCTTCCTCAGGTCTCTTAGGGTATGTCTACACTACCCCGCTAGTTCGAACTAGCGGGGTAATGTAGGCATACCGCACTTGCAAATGAAGCCCGGGATTTGAATTTCCCGGGCTTCATTTGCATAAGCGGGGCGCCGCCATTTTTAAAACCCCGCTGGTTCGAACCCCGTGCAGCGCGGCTACACGGGGCTCGAACTAGGTAGTTCGGACTAGGATTCCTATTCCGAACTACCAGTACACCTCGTTCCACATGGTGGATGTAATTGCAACCAAAAAATGTAGTCTTCATAGAAAGGTAAAGGAGGATGCGGGTGGCCATTGGCTCAAATGGAGGATTAGTTCCATGGCTCCCTTGGTGGAGTTACATCAGGGTACAGTGACTGTAGGCCCCTTATGAAGCTTTTTGGGATTGGATAGTGTCACGGGATAGCCCTCTCTTTTTTCTCCCAGGGGGTAGAATCTCGGGTCCCCTGAGCAGTCCGAGTTCGCATCTCACCCCACACGCTCTGGCAAACATTAGTAATTAGGCCCCTCTCCACAGGGCTGGATAGCCCAGCAACCAGAGTCTATTACAAAAAAATCAATGGCTGGCCCTTTAAGGCAGGGCAGTATGGCCCACTGGCCGGAGTCTGTAAACCACAAATCAACAGCTAGCCCTTTAATGCAGGGCTGGGTGGCCCAATGACCAGGGTCAGTAGGTCAGAGTCAAGGTTGGCCCTTTAATGCAGGGCTGGATGTCCCACTGGCCAGAGTAATGAAGGGGGTCTATGCCCCAGTAGGATGACCCGGGCCCACCCTACTCCAGCACGTCCTGACCCAGGACCTTGTGAGTGGCAGAATGGTCCACCACTCCCTTGGCGGGGAATTGTACCAAAATACGCTGGGGATCTTGGGGTGGGAGAGGCCGCTCCTACACCCTCCCTGGGCTGCTTCCTACCAGATCTGTCGAGTCAACTTCCCATGTAGTAGTCGGGTCCTCTGGCTTTTCAGGGGTCACTTCTCCCTGGAAACCTACTGTGGTCGCGTTCCCACCATCACCGGAGCCTCCACCGCTCTCGGCTCAAGTGGCTGGCTGCTGCTGCTGCTCTGGAGCTCCAAGTAGAGGTCCTTCTCCTCCGGCCATCAACCCAGACTGAGCTTCTGACCAGGCTTTTATACCATGGCTGCAGTCTGAGCATGCCCGGCAGAGCTTCGGGGGGGCAGGGCTCCTCCAGCCAGGGCAGCCTGGCTAAATCCTTCTTGTTCAGTGTGGGGCTGGTACACCCTATCACAGATGGGCAAAAATTGTACTATTGTCTATTTTTGAATGGAATGTGGTTGTAGTAGCTAAATGCATCCTAAAAGAGCTGATGAAAAGGTTGGCCTGCTTTAGGTACAGGAGGGAATGGAGCAGTCTCAGGAGAGATTTTCCGCGAGATGGCCCAATGTGCAAAACATGTCCACATGTCAGAATATGTTTTCCTAGTTGAGGCAGCGTGACTGTGTGAAAGTACATTGCATTCTTGGTCAGAACACTGTAAGTCTATGCCTAAGAGCCATCCAGGTACCAAGCCTTCAGGTGGACTCTGAGGAACCACTGGTGTTGGTTCTGTACTCCTGGCTGATAGAACAGTCTGGGCTTGAGTGACAGGAATATAGGTAGAAACAGTGCCATTCTGCTGAGAAAAGGGAACCAGGGTTGTCTGGGCCAGCATGGAGCTATTAGAATGACTCTGTCACGTCTTATCTTGAGTATTGTGCAAAGGAGGAAGGGAATGGGAAGGAAGGCACAGAAGAAGTAACAGTTCCATTTTATGGTGAGAGCATCTCTGAGGGAGCCTTTGCCTATGGCTGTGGTTCTCAACTGGTGGTCCATGGTGACTTTTTCGGTGGTACACAGGAACATTGTCCAAAGTCACACGGCATGGGCAGGCATCAAAAATTTGTTAGTAAGAAATAAATTTCAAACCAAAATGTTCGTTGTCTGCTCTTTTTTTAATCATGTCTCAAAAAGGAGGTGGTCCACGAAAATTTTTTGGATTGGCCTGGTGGTCCATGGACTGAAACGAGTTGAGAACCACTGGCTTATGGGCTCCAGTACTGCCCCTGAGCACAGTATGGCATGGGCAGTGGCATCCAGCAGCGCGGTCATTGAGTGCCTAAAGATAGGATGTGAGGACAGTACTGAGGCCTCAGTGCTGGGTGAGAGTTGGGGTGAGAAGGATAGCTCCTCTGCATCATCCTCCTCACTCGATGCCGCTGTGGCTGGTGATGTATTGGTGCCAAAGAACAGAGAGTTGAGGGTGAAAGAAACAGTAAGGTCCTTATGATGAAGGTACCTTGGTGCCAGCGTGAATGGTGCCATTAGTGACGTTGCCGGAGGCAGCACCAATGGTGTCTGCAAATCCATCGGTACCACTAACTGTTGTGGTGCGGTGTGGTACCGGTGGCTGGGTTGATGATACTGAGGTCCGGTGCCGGTGAAGGTTGTGGAGCCGAGATGTGTTCTCAGTGCTGCTGGCTCAGGTTTCTTTTCATCTGGTGTTGCAATGGGTGCCGAGCTTCTTGAGGCAGGCACATCAAGGCCTGTAGTCCCGATGCGGGGCTTCTGCACACTGTTTTGGGGTACTGTGCAGGATGCTGGAGACGCCTAACGCACCATACATGCAGAGGAGTGGCACAACCTCAACTCTTGGTGCCGACTTCTCAGTAAAATGTTGCTAAAGTGACTGCGATTTACAAGGTAAAGAAGAGGTGTGCTTCTTTGAGGATTTTTTTGCCCTTATTAGATTTTTTTCACGCCATTGGGTGCCTGAATCAGAGGCAGGGTGCTGTGCCTTTTTGAGTATTAGCATTTTAAGATGGAGCTCTCTATTCCTGTGTATTTGTGCCTTAAGCTTAGCACAGTGGTGACAATCCTGCTGCACATGGCTCTCACCTAGACATTTGATGCACTTTGAGCGTTAGTCAGAGATGAGCGTGGCACCATTACATGAAGTATAACGCTTAAAACCTGGTGATCCAGGCATTTCTGTCCGATGAGGTCAGAACCACAAGGAAAAAGAACTTGGATAACAATTTTTTTTTAATTTCTTTTTCTTTGTTTTTTGTAGAAAGACAAACTTGGATAGGTAAGGAGCTAGTGAACAAGGAGAACAGGGGAAAACAAACTACTTATCTATAGAGAACAATGCAGAATGAAGAGCACTGCTGAACTCTGTTTTAAGCGGGGGACGGTAAGAAGGAACTGAGGGGAGGGTGTCCGTGCATGCGCTGCCCCCAGGCACTGCCTTGAAGATGCCAGTTTGCAGCGCTGGGACGCACCAACACCGGCTGTGGAGCAACCACAGAGACGTCACTCTCAAAGAACTTAATGTTCTTTAAGTATGTGTAATATTTGTATACACTGCTCAGTGAGTTGGTTCCACAGTAAAAAAACAGCAATGGGTTTCTGTGCATGTAGATGAAAAGTTAGCTCACAGCAACATATAGTCAGGTTGTTGCATGCAAGTTGTTAAATGCGCTGGCACAATTAATTATGAAAGCTAGGCCAATATTTGTCCACTAGGGATGTTAGCACGTAGTCAATTACACTAACCATAGTAACTACATGCAAATCTCCTCTTGCTGCCTCTGTTTCAGAGGCAGCAAGGGAGGGAGATGAGAGCCAACTCCCGCAAAGCCACCTGCCCGCCCCCCCCAGGGGCACTGTGGAGCTGCCTGCCCCACTTGCTGTGGGAGGCAAGGGGGCAGGTGGCTCCACAGAAGCCAGCACATGCGGAGAGCCGGCTTTTAAGCTGGCTCCCCGCAAGTGTTAGTTTCCATGGATCCACCTCCCCCACGCCTCCTGGCCTCCCACAGAGGCAGCAGTGCGTGGGGAGAGGGCAGGCGGGAGTCTGTTTAAAAGTCTGATAGAGAGGCAGCAGCATGGCAATTGAGGGGGTATGCAGGAGACGGTACACATGGGAAGTGGCTTTCAAGCCGCCTGCCCCCCACACTGCTGCCTCTTTATCAGAGGCGGGGGGTGGGAGGAGGAGGGAACTGGTGCTCGTGGGGCGCCAGCTCCCCCTGAATATTGGTTCCCACCTCCTCTCCCCCCATGTGTAAAGCCGACATAGCTAGATTCCAGCGGTTAAACGTTTACACAAATAAACGATAGTTAACATCTCTATTGTTTACCACATTCTTAGAATTGATGAAGCATGGACTATGACTATAAGGAATTCAGTGTAATCAAACCCTGATTCTCAAAGTTTAAAAAGAAAACAGAAGCAGAAAAATAAGATTTTCAAAAATGCTAAGCACTTTTAGTTCCCATTGATTTCAAGTGGAGATGTAGGTGGCTCAACTTTTTTAAAAATTAGGCCTTTAGACTCTGGTTGATCAGCTGTTCTTTGTTAAATGCTATGTTTAGGCTTTTTCTATTAACTAATTGAAAACCAAACATATATTCTTCATATTCATTTTATTAGCAATTATGAAATATTAACCTCTTACGATAACATTTCAAGATATATCAATTAAAATCTTAGTAGATATTAGAGAAACAGTAACTTTGACAAAATATATTTTGCATAAATTGAACTACATATTAGAGACAGAGACTCTTCAATTAGGAAAAACTTAAAATACAAGGAATAGTCTTGTAGCTCCTTAGAGACTAACAAAACATGTAGATGGTATCATGAGCTTTCCTGGGCACAATCCACTTCTTCAGATGAATCAAGTTATTAAAGGTCCACTTTCCATATAAATAGGGCGGGGGTGTGGGAAAGAGAAGGAAAAAGAAGGAAAAGAAAGAAAAAGTGGGGAAAGATATAGTCAATTAGAGTGTCCATGATACATGAAGCTGATAAGGAAGGTACTACCTGTTCTAAAGTACCCATTTTTTTTATGACATTAGGATGTGGAATGTAGCGGGCCATTCAGCCAATGTCTTTATTCATACCTCTGTTATAGGAATCAAACTTGTGAATGAAGTTAAGTTCTAAGGCTTCCCTGTGGAGTTGGCTTGTGAAATTGGCCTGAAACATTACCCACACCAATAAACTTTATGAGTGACAATACAATATGACCTATATTGTATATGCTGAGGTACATCGAACCTCAAAATCTCCTCCCAAGCTGCAGTCTCACAGAGGCACCACAGTCCTCTTTGGAATTGTCAACAAAGTCAAGAGATTGTACTCTCTTGATAGCAGCAATGTAATGACAGAAAAACCCAATGCTGCACACTTTTAGCATGGCCAATCCTGCCATCTTCAAAAGACAACTGTGCTTATGGGACTGATGCTGTTGTTGTATCTTGTATGCTTAATGGAATTTTGAACCTGGGGCTGAGAAACAGATTCTCCTGGCTTACTAAATGCCAGACAGCAAAGGGAGAAATTTTGAAGACTGACTAGTTACAAATTAACATTTCCCCAGCCGACAGCCGTCCGAATGAAGCTCAACAAGAGACTTTCTCCCTCCAAATGGTGATCAGGAGTGATAAAGACCATCTCTTCATCATATGCACTCAAAAGAAGCTTCTATCTATTGAAGAACATGTGAGCATTTGGAAGTAGGAAAACACAATTCCAACTTAAGGTTTGTTTGAGAGAAAAAAGCACATGTTGGCTTGTACTCACACCACTCATCAATGGTGCTACACAAGGGGTTACAGTGTAAGAATAGGATTTGAAACTCCCAAAGCCTGTGCAGCACCAGGATATTAGGAAGAAAGAGAACTAGACAATGGACAGGTAGGGATTAGTATGTAGGGATTTAAGTTACAAGTATATCCTGTTTCTCTCACATGGAAAATCCCTAATGCATTGCTTTTTCTTTAGGGCATTTCACATTCCTTTAGGGCATCAGATAAACCCTAGATATGTTAACCTAATGTACAGTCACAATATGAAGACATTTGGGCCACTAGTCATGAGTAAAATTCAGGCACATAAGGTTCTAAGGTTGTTAAGCACCACCGAAGTAATGGCAGCTGATTTCATTAGATTTTTGCATAGTAAAATAGTTTATGCTACGATCAATGCACCAATAAAATTTTAGTCTTTTGACTCTGCATTTTTGTGCAAGACATTATTGTATTTATTTAGATTTTTTCCTATTTAGAAGCTACTGAAATCAGTTAATTTCAATAGACCTCTATATAATAAAAATTGTGTGCAGTAATATGCCTAATATTCCATATTAAATGATTCCTAAGAAAAATAATATAAATTTGTCCAATGTAATAAAAATGTTTTAAAGGACACTAAAAGATGTTAAACATTAATGCCACATTTCCAATTTAGAGGTTGGTAAAATAGCACCTGAAATCCTGAGAAATTTGTTGCTCCTGAATTAAAAAACTTATTTTCCTGAAAGGAAAAAGAAACCCCACCCCCACACACATGGAACAGACAATTATTTGACAAATCATTTTGAATGCCCAGTATAACTTATTAATAAAGGAACATTTTTAGTATCTACTGCATTTTAAAGGAGTTATATTAGCCATTTCACCACTATTTTCTTCAAAACTGTCCATGCATTTTAACTTTTTTAGCTATAGTTTAAGAAAAAAAGTATCTAAAATTGGTTTAAAAAAATCTATTTTGAGATGCTTCAAAAATATACAATACTTAAAATGGTTTACACTATTAAAATGAAACTGGAAAGCCAAGATGTAGATTCTTAAAATTATGTTCATAAACAGAACAAATACATATATATCAGCACTATTATATATCTCTATAATCAAGGTCTTCCTCTGACTGTTGTGTGAACAACCACAATCTAAAAGATTTTTAAAATCCAAATAATGACATTACCCTTTGTGAAGAGCAAAATGTGTTAACAGAAATGTGCTTAACTTGATTCATAAACAAAGTAAAACAATATAAGCCCTATCTTGCAAGATAGTGAATGCCCATAACTCAAACTGACTTAATTGGAAGATGCAGGTACCCAGATATTCAATACCTTGCACCATCAGGCCCTCAAACAGGGGTGGACAAATTTTGGCCTGTGGGCCGATTCGGTCTGCAAGCTTAGTTCCTGGTGGGATCCCACCTCCATGTTTACCTGTGCCTCTGCAGGTATCGGAGGATCACAGCTCTTCTTGGCCACAAATTGCCATTTACGGCCAATGCAAAAAACGGGGAGCTGCTTGCATTGGCTGCAAACAGTGATTCACAGCCAACCCGAGTTGCAATCCTCCAACACATGGGGAGGCACAGGTAAACATAGTGGCAGCAGCCCACCAAGGACTAATCCTGTGGGCTGACATTTTTTTTTTATTGCCCACCTCTGCCATAAAACATCTGGGACAACAAGAAATTTGTAGTTCAAAGAGAGAACAAAACCAGGTCTAATTGTTTTCCTTCTTTATACACACAATATTGTGAGAAAGTTTGAGAACAATGAATGTGAATGGTCCTGGAGACTGCCCACCTACCCAAGCACACAAAATCTCACAGTTTCGGACAAAGTAAAATTACTTTGCCAGTTTGCTAACGAATGCTTGTTTTAAAAAGGATGAAAGACAATTTATTGATTTCGTAGTTTTGGGAAAAATCTCTCAAGTTCTTTCTTATTCAAACCTTCACCATAAGTCTAATTTACTGTCTATGAGAGATAGCTAGTCAATCTTAAAACTGAAATTGTCAATTCAGATCTGCATATTTTCTATACTTAAGTAAATATTCATATATAATAAGACAACAAAAACTCTTTTCAGCAAAGCGGGCGACTAAATTATCTACATTGATTCCTAATAATTCATGGAGAATTTATGATTCAAATATTTTCAACATAGTTTTTTAAGAGAAAGAACCCTCCATAATACTTTGTATTGTTAAAACTCGATCACTGTTATATTTTCACTTTTTAAAGTTTCCTTAATTCCTTTCCCCGGAGTTTTGATCTTGATGTCAATAAAAGAAGCCTCAAGCCCACAGCATATATTCTAGGCAATTTTACAGGAATATGACTCATTTCTTCCAGAAGCATCTTAAAGTACTTTACAAGTATAACACCTATCAGAATCACTTTAAACCGCTGCAGAATAGAATGCAACAGTCATTTAACAATTTCTCTCATGAAAGTGATGGTACATGTGTAAATATCTGTGCATCAAGAACAGACTATATCCATTATTTTGTGTCAGTTTCTCTACACAGGGATGTATTATTGGGCTCTGAATATAAAAGATATTCCTCATTCAGAAAAGGAGAAGAAACAATGTAAATGGCTGAAAAACTATACAGGACAAAGCGTAAAGGTCTTAAAGTAAAAATTAAATCCCTCTTAAAACTCTATAGGACTGAGACCTACCAGTAGAAAGTAGATCACAGCCCATTTTGGGAAACCACTATGTACTCTACCAAACTTCTCTTCCTGCCCATACAACAGAAACTGGACTCTGTATTTTAATATTACTGTAGTAATGGCTATCAAAAAGTAGCCTTCAAACAATAAAGACAAGTGAGGAGTGCAGGGTACATATTGTATATTTTCCACTATGACCCTTTCTGTTCAGTGCTATTTGTGGAACGTCTAAATACCTTTCATTAGCTAAGGTAAACAAGAAATAGGAGGTTTTACAATAAAATGTTAATTAACATAATTTGAGACAAGAAATTGAAGCTTTTTCACCAAAAAATACTTTTTATAAAAAGTATTAAACAAAATTATTGAACAGTATTTCAAGTAATCTAAATAAATACAAATAAAAGATACTTTTTTGCATAGATTTAAGGAAAGTGCAACTACAACATAACATTTTGTACCATAAGAAATAGTCAATCCACAAAGGGACTATATTAACAATCATCTTCTGTCATCACTGAAATTGTAGCAACTAAAGAAGTAAATCAATGTGATGTGGTCTATTGGGAAAGTTACTTTAAATTAAAAGTTAACCTGTAACATTGTCAGTTAATCCACTACAAAAAGCTTTCAGATTGTAGTTAAGCCATTATAAACAACTTTAGCAAGAGAGCAGGGTTGATAACTGCCAACCAGAAAAACATCCAAAATAATTTGAAATAATTAAAGAGCATTTGTTTATATATCCAGCTGCCATTTTAGGCAGATTTTGGAGACTGCCATGTGTATCAGCCTTGCATGTGCGTAATACAGAAATTTGTTTTTTTGTTATTGTTTTATTTTGATGAATGAACCCTAACTGCTTTAGTGTCACTAAGATTAAAAATAAAAAACTTGAGTAGAGCTATGTCTGTAGTAAGTAAATGGAAACTATGAATTAGAATGGGAGACTTTTTGTCTCACTTTAGAGATGGGTAAGTACATATATACTCAATCGTAAGCCCATTCGTTCATAAGCAAACCCTCCCCAAGTTAAAAAAATTGTAAAAATTGTAATGACCCATTAATAAGCTGACTCTATATTGGCGTTTTGCAAACTTCCGGTTCCAGCTCATCAGCATAAGCCACTGGTATGTTGAGACATTTTGTTTACCTGGAGCATCTGCAGGAATGGAGCCTCTCAGCTCCCATTGTCTGCTGTTCACCATTCCCAGCCAATGAGAGCTATGGGAAGCAGTGCGGGCTAAGGGATGTGCTGGCTGCCACCTCCCACCACTCCCATTGACCCAGAACTGCGAACAGCAGCCAATGGGAGCAGAGGGGCTCTGTGCCTGCAGACACTCCAGGTACATAAAACATCCTGGCACAGCAGTGGCTTGCCTTGCTGGGCTAAGAACTGAATTTTGCTGATTTTCCTAAGTTAAAATAATTGGTAAAACACAATGACCCATTCATAAGCCGATCCCTGCTCTTTACTGCATTATTTTTACAAAAAACAATTAGGCTTATGATTGAGTATATGGTTACTATACAAGGCATTAAAAAAGGAGAATCAGGCCTCAAAATTTTAAGGAACAACAGTGATTTATGGGGAAAAAAATGAAAAACTTCTGTATACAGTTACTGCCTATTTAAGATAGCAACCAGGAAACTGAGGGACAGCAAGATCTGTGAAAATATACCACTGCCTTGCTCAGTGTGACACTGAATAACATATGCAGAACCAGCTAGTTAAAACATCTCCTATGTTGCTTGAAAGTCAACTGAGTCCTTTTCTTGGGGACAATTTGGTAATAAAGTTCAATAAATGAACTATTTTAAATAAATAGTTACTATAAAATATATGTTCCAAGCTTATGATGCTTATCTTAGTTTCTGTGATGAAACAGTGCCTGATATGCTAGATTTCATTCTCTTTAACTTTTTTTGAATTTTTTTGCCACTTACGAATGGCAGTTCCAGAGCTACTGGCTATTACACAAAGGGCACCACCCACCGTCCACCAAGTTGGTAGATGATTGAGGAAAAGTATCTGTAAGATAAAAGCAAACACAACATCCATTGTTTTCATGATGGCAACAGGACCAGCCTTCTCTATCTGTAATGCTTTTGTGAGAAATATCTGACCCCCCAACCCTAACAGTCCAATTAATATTAGGAGAACTCTATCTGTACCACAATATGGTAAAGTCCATTCATTTAATACAATCAATACTACAATACATTCAATTAAACCAATTACTGCATAATACCAAACAGACAAAAAATAATGCACAGATTTTCCCATCTTTCTTAATATAACAAAAGTTGAAGCTGATGATACTGCACTTGCAACAGCAGCTATTGTTCCTTTAAGATGATTTCTGTAGCTTCCTTCAATCCCTGTAACATTGGATCCAAATAGAAAAGGTGGTCTTGCAATAAGTACCACTCCAGTGATTGTAAAGAGGGTGAAAAGAAGATCCCAAAAGCTGTATTTCTCCTTGAGAAATATCCAGGCTAACAATGATGTAAAAACTGGACTGCTGAAAGTTATAACAGTGGCATCAGCTAGAGGCATTATTTGGAAAGCATAGTAGAGAAGAATCATTGCAGCAGAGCCAAGGAATCCTCGGAAGAAAAGAAAAACTCGTTTACCTTTTGGTCCCAAAAACCCTGTTCTGCAAATTAAAAAGAAAAGACAAAGATATAATCACACTGAGCATTCATAATCAAACATTTAATTACATTCAGATCCTCAGATGAAGGACTTTTAATCATGAAACTGTCAGAATATCATTGTGGCTCTCTGCAGAGGTTTTTTTTTGGTGGGGATTACAGTAATATTCAGAAGCCTCCATCAAAATCAAGATCCAGTCATGGTAGGCACTGTAGTATTGCTTGCAAAATAACTCCACAGAAAATATAATAGAGAAATCCAACTACTGGCTTTTATTTTTAAGGGTCTCAGAGTTTCAATGAGGTATTTTTGGAATAATCCTCTGCCCTAAAGCTGAGAGGCTCAACATTTCAGAGATGTCTGAAGCTCACTGTAATTAAGAAAAACAAAGCCATTTATTTAGCAAGAAGTTACAAATGTTTCTTGAGACATTTTGCTTCTCCAATTAAAGCCTGAATTAAAGTAGTACTTGCAGTCAGATTTATTTTCCCATTTAGTTAATGACAGCTGTGGACATAATATTACCTGCAGAATATTAGGTGACTTTTTGTTACCTAACAATATTTTGTATTTAGACAAAATACTTACTTATAGTATATTAAACCAGGAAGAACAAATGCCATTTGGAAAACACACCGAAATGCACTGATTTCCACTGAATGTACATCTTCAATTTTTTTAAGAAATAAAGAAGCCACTGAGAAAAGGAAGGCAGAAAATAGGGTATAAAACAGACCAAGTCCTGGGCAGGTGAATTTCTTTTTAATTCCTGCAACAAATAATAAGTTCTAGTTAGTAACTAATAGTCATTTGGCTCATGACAACAGCTTTCAGAGAGATAATCATGTTAGTGTGTTTCAGCAAAAACAAGGAGTCCAGTAGCACTTTAAAGACTAACAAACTTATTAGGGTATTAGAGCATAAGCTTTCATGAGCTACAACTCACTTCCTCAGATGTTGAAGAGAAAAAGAAAGGCAGGAAAAAAAAAGATACTGCAATGAGAGTGTGACATCAGTGCTAATTAAATCAGAATGCATGTGGTTCGTCTCCAACAATGGTGAAGTAAGAGTACTTGAAAAAAAACTTAAAAAAGAATGAATGGTGTTGTAGCACCTTAGAAACTAACAACAAATATAGGTGGTATCATGAGCTTTCGTGGGTGCAACCCACTTTTTCAGATGAGAATAGTTGAATGGGAAATCTCCTATTGTAATGCGAGAACTAGGGATGTAATAGTGTAGTCGATGAACCGATAAGCAAAAGCTTATAGGTTAATGCTATAGACCCTTGTTTCTTAAACTGTGTTCCGCAGAACTCTGGTGTTCTGTGGAGAACTCACAGGTGTGCCGCGGTCGTTTGAAGAAAAAAAAATGGCTGCGAGACCTGCTGAGATGCAGCGGGTGGTGCGACAAGGTGAGCAAGTGGTGACATGGCTGGAAATGAGGCGGGGCTACCTGCATTCCTCCTCCTGTGCTTCCGTGCAAAGGGCAGAAGAGGCGAGCAAGTGATGACGTGGCAGAAATGAGGCGGGGCTACCCGCGCCCGGCTTGCAACCACCTGGGAAAGCTCCGTGCCTTGGGTGCGCCCCTTGCCAGCGGGGAGGAGTGTTGCAGGGCCAGCAGTAGGGCCGGCTCTGATTGGCTGTATCTGCTGCTGCTCTAGGGATCCTGCCTGCCAGGGGAGAGAACTGCCCTAAAGCTACCACCCCCAACTGGGTCTTTGCACCACTGTCTTTAGCCCTTGCTTGTTACCCAGGACAGCTGAGGGGGAGGCCAGCACCTTCTACCCTTGAGTGTTGCAGGGCCAGCAGTAGGGCCGGCTCTGATTGGCTGTATCTGCTGCTGCTCTAGGGATCCTGCCTGCCAGGGGAGAGAACTGCCCTAAAGCTACCACCCCCAACTGGGTCTTTGCACCACTGTCTTTAGCCCTTGCTTGTTACCCAGGACAGCTGAGGGGGAGGCCAGCACCTTCTACCCTTTTGCACAGACAAGGCCCTTCCCTTCAGTATTCTGTGTCAAAAATAGCCAGGGGCTAGAACTATTGAAGGACAAAACATTAAGCAGTAAGGAACCCCTGTGAATTGGGGGGCAGGGTAAGGCCCTCAGTGCCCCTAATGCTGGTGTGGCTGCTATGGCTGCTGTCAGTCAGCTACTTGACATGGGATTGAATTTATAATTTCCACCAATATGAGTAAACAGAGTAAATTACATTTCCCTATCAAAAAGGCAGAACTCTAGAAGGCTTCATAGGGCAATGAGCGAATATTATTGTTGTCAGTAAAAGTGTCATATGTTGTTCAAGGGGAAAGCTTCTCCCCCGCCCCCAACAAAAAAAATCCTTGGTGTTCCTCAAAAAAAATTGTTTGGTGTTCCTCGGTCTTAAAAAGTTTAAGAAACACTGCTATAGACTACACGCATTTCCTTCCCCACCACCAATACATTTTTTAGCAGGCTAGCCAGCAGTCTGGCTCAGTCTGGGCTTGTGATGGGTCCGGACACCCCCGCCCCCAAGACAGGGACTGCTGCCACCTCCCGCTGGTGCCTCTTTATCAGAGGCAGCAGCACAGGATGACAGGCAGCCCGTCTGCGAGGGGAACAGGTTTTTAAACTCTAGCACAGAGTGTCAGGGTGCTCCTCAGGAGTGCGGCTGGAGTGTACTGGCTGCCAGCCCCGTCCCCGGGGACTACAGAATAGTCAACTAACCGATAAGAATTCATGAGGTTACTCGACTAGTCAATTAACCGATATTCAACATCCTTAGGAAGAACAACTTGTGTTTATAGACCTCTGGTTCAGGGTATCAAGTTTGCATATGAATTTCAGCTCAGAAGTTTCCTTCTGCAGTCTGTTTTTGAAGTTGTATTTGAAAATACTATATAATTGCCCAAATAATGTAGTTATATGGGGAGGCAGAAATAGGAAGGGGCAAGAAAGTCAAAAGGAAATAGAAAACTACCACATTCATTCACTTTAATTATGTCCCAAGTCATGTGTTACACCACTAGGGATGTAAACATGTACCTGTGTAGTGGTTAACTGATAAGCCTGGGCCTTATCAGAGGCCGCAGGCAGGGGCAGGTACAGAGGGAGCAAGGGAATGGGTATGTAGTTAACAAGATTAACCGATAAGCCCAGGCTTATTGGTTAATCATATAGTTGACTAGATGTTAACATCCCTATTCTTGATTGTTTACTAGGCAACCTACGGTATCCTGCCACATCATTCTTTCTGCTCCATGAGTTCTGTAAGCCTCACTGCTTCCCCTATTATCTAAGAAGAGACATCTTTAATCACTGCTGTAGAGAATGGCTGTTCCATTTATTATCTTTCTGGGATGGTGTACATGTTAGGGTCACCATAAATTATTATGCTTTTTGGCATGCAAAACATTTCTTTTTTTTAAATTTCTAACATCAGAACATCAGATATTGTAACTTTGTGATTCTAACCTTCCTTTAATTAATGATTCAGTGAGTAGTGTTCATCTTGTTTTGAAGGCTTAGCGCAGGTCACCAGCAGTTCATCTCCACCCTTTTTCCCACTTTGTGAATCACTAGGAGATATATAAGGGGGCCAGGAAGAGGAAGAAACATATGTTTAAGGTGGTAGGGAGCCTCAAGACCAGGAAAGAAGTAGAGTTTGGGATGAGTACCAGTACAGAAGGGAGGGTAGGCGGGAGTCACTTTCCCATGCAGCCGCCTCCCCCCCCCCACCGCTATCTCCCACAAAAATAAATCTATTTGGACATCCCTAGTGTCCACCAAATAGCCCCTTATTTGTATTTTCTTAGATATGATCTATAGGAGGTGAAATTCAATACATAATTGCATTACACTCCACAAATCACATTTTGTCAGCTCAAGCGATCTATATTTTTATTAATATAAAAATATTTTGTTGTAATTTGAGAAGTTAATTGCATGAGTGGCCCAAAACTATGGGGCGCATCTCCTCTAAGTCCGCATGAAGGAAAGTTCAGGGGCATGGCAAAGCTCAACTGGCCAGCCATCGGGGGAGATGGGGAAGGGAGTGCCACTCAGCCCTGCTCTACCACCTGCTGTAGCCCCAGCCTAGTCCCTGACTCCACTCCTAGCCCCAGCCACATCGCCCTACATCAGTCCCTGGCCATGGCTCCATTCTCAGCCCCCGCCCAGACCCTGTACTTAATGTCTGCAACCTTCCCCTACCCCAGGCTGTCTTTGTTCCTGACCCCAGCATATGTGAAAAGTTTGGCATTACACGGAACAAATTTCTTTCTCACCACTGCTCCAGGTTTGAGGCTTAGAAAATAAAACTGGTTGTGAAAGTGTACTGTCTTCTGCCAGGTCATGACACATTGAACCTTAAGGCATGGATGTCACCTTACTTCATTAAAATTCCAAAGACAAAATCTTTGTTTAAAAAACTAGGTAAGATTGCTAAATGACAAACAATTTAGTTCTAGATCACATCATCTAAAAAACCTAAGAACTTACAATCAAGGACATGAATCATTAAGTATAATATGAATTGTCTACAAAATAAACATTCATTATCCTTATCAAGTATAAAGCAACACATTTCATCATATCAACCCCCTTACATCTGTTCCAGGGATTTCTGGAGTTTTGGGGGTTTACCTCTTTAGTTGTAATGGAGACTAAAATGGAAAGATTTTTAATTAACACAATTTTAAATCTGGTTAAGTGTTCAGTTGTCATGGTCTTGTGAAACAGTCCTTGCATCTTTGCCAGTTCTATACAAATTGGAGCTTCATCCCAATTTGAATTCATACAATTCCCTCTTCTGGTTTCCCTGTAAGAACATCCCAAACTCTACTTCTGTCCTGGTCTTGAGATGCCCTGCTACCTTAAAAATATGTTTCTCCCTCTTCCTGGCCCCCTTACATATCTCCCAGGGTACATCTACACTACAACGTTAATTCGAACTAACTTAGTTCGAATTAGTTCATTCGAACTAAGCTAATTTGAACTAACGGATCTAGACTAAAAAACTAGTTCGAATTAGCGTTTTGCTAATTCGAACTAGCATGTCCACATTAAGTGGACCCTGAACCAGGCTTAAGGATGGCCGGAAGCAGTGCCAGCAGGGCATCAGAGGAGGACTTAGAGCGTGGAGATGCTGTCTCAGGCTAGCCGAGGGCTG